ACATAGTAAGTTGATCCACATATGACAGCCTCTGAACTTGGTCAATACTAATCTTATATGCAGGCACTGGACTAAAAATACATTCAATCAGTCATCGCTCCCAAAAAGAATTCAACGGGTCATCTTGTTAATACTATAAATTAATTACAACAATAAAAGAAAATTGCATCATGAACATACATGAACAACAGTATCACATTAAACCACAGAAATTCCAAAATGACATTTCCCTTACATTCAACTTCCAAGATTGCATTCATCTAACAAAAACATAAATGGCATTAAAAAAAAAAACACTTACACTGACAAGCTACTCAATATCGCGTTCATAATCGAATGCGACTCATCTGCGATTATGAATGCTGTGATTGGTTGTTAATGTTTACAGTGCGTGGAATGGTGCGCTGTGATTGGTTGAGCGGATATATCGCACTCTGCAGAAAAGGGAGACTGGCGTTTGTCGCGGTTTGGAAAAAAAGGGAGAAAACATGACAGAATAACTCGGCGGATATCGTATTTTGCGTAAAATTTAAAATTGACTTTTCAATACCGACCAGATACAATACTGATTTTGACGGAAACTCAAAAAAAAAAAAAGAAAAAAAAGAAAAGAAAAGGCGTTTATCGCGTTTTGGAACCAAACTCTTCATATATATTATATATATATTGTAATGACTTATGACATTGTAATGACTTATTTTAATAGCTAATAAACAAATATTGTACATGACATAGATCCTTCATGATGTTATACATTGTTATACATCAAGCGTAATATATATATATATATATTTCAGTGTCTTCTGTACTACATAAGTTTTTGCTAATTAATGTGATTATAAAGTTATCCCCTCCCCCTTTTTTACATTTTGTATGTGTGTGTTTGTTTTGTAATAAAGATAAGTCAAATGGTACTAAAAACAACATTCACGTTTGTGACCAAAGGTACATAACGTTTCTGCAATAATACTATAAACAAGCCCTTGGTTAATAATTATTACATCCTTATTGTATTGTTGCTTTACATTTGAATTTGTTCTTGTCCTTATTACCTGATTTAGTAGCTTATAATTCATGGAGTTATTTATCAGTACAGTGTGCATTAAAAATTGATGTTAAAAAACTGCCAAATTCTGACAGTAACATACCGTTTTCCATTAAAACAGTGGGGAAGTCGTGGCCTAATGGTTAGAGAGTCGGACTCGTAACCCAAAAGGTTGCAAGTTCGAGTCTCAAGTGCGGCAGGAATTGTAGGTGGGGGGAGTGAATGTACAGCGCTCTCTCCCACCTTCAATACCACGACTGAGGTGCCCTTGAGCAAGGCACCGAACCCCCAACTGCTCCCCGGGCGCCGCAGCATAAATGGCTGCCCACTGCTCCGGGTGTATGTTCACGGTGTGTGTGTGTTCACTGCTGTGTGTGTGCACTTTGGATGGGTTAAACGCAGAGCACTAATTCCTAGTATGGGTAACCATACTTGGCCACACGTCACGTCACACTTTTTTCACACTTTAATATACTGTTGTAAACAAGCATTCTAGGTAATGTTTTTGAGAAAGTAACTTCTTCGCCCAGAGTCGACACTCAAAGATGGTGTCCCAAATCACACCCTATACCCTCATTGACTATTCTGAATTCAGACACTGAACACCTGCTGTTAAAAAGCAGATTCACTGAAGGAAAGAGAAACACAACAACTACAACTGACTTCCACTGCCTTACGTGAAATCAAATGAAATAAAAGAAAGGCATTAAATCTCTCAAGATTTTAGCAGAGGACATTTTAACAAATCCATAAACCACATTACCAGCTTCACTTATTTCTAACCAGAATAACTTTTTTGTCATACAAAAGTTCTAATTTAAAATTAACAGAACTTTAGATGTTGAGGTTTTATTGAAAAGAATATTTTGTTTATAGTTAACATTTTGGCAGTTAGTGTTTGCATTAGTTGGGCTCTTGAATTTTTAACATGCGTTTTTCTCTGGCTGCTGTAAATGTGTGTTTATGAAGCATAATTGTTATGGCAAAATAAATAAATCAAGCCAAGATACATGATCCAGATGTTGATAGTTATGTACTGATGCTGACATAATCATTACAAAATGGCCTGATTCACTGCTCTATACTACTACTGGCAACCACAGCCGCTGGTTTTATTAATATCGTAATAATTCATCATAACCTGTAGGCCAGTTGAGCAGAATCATTCCATATGAATTCATATGTTATTGCTACTATGACATCCTTCAATTAAAAATACAGACCAATGTGTATTTCATATATTACAGTTATAATTCATATGCATCTCTGATTTGAGTTATTTGATTTCTGTCATTTGTTTTCTGTATACTGTACTGTACAATACAGTCCACAGGAGGGTGCTGTAAAATAACTATACAGCAGCATGCACCACAGCTGTAAAACAAAATTGTCTTTCGAGTTCAATATTTCCTTATAGGATACATATTCAAATATGATACATTTGCCATTGTATTCGTTAAATAATCACTGTTATCATTTTTTTCTTAAACCCTCCAGAACTTACAAAAAAATCAATCACTCTCTGAAAATGTATAAATCAGAAGCAGCAGAAAAGAGTCATGGCAGAGAAGCATGGAAAACTTTGTCTTTTAAAACGTGAATTACACTTAAACAGAATGAATTACGCATGTGAATGATTGGCTATATGTGTGTGAGAGTATGTGTGGAGGCCTCCCGCTGTGTTTATAGTACTCAGAGCTGGTGTAGTGGTGACACACTATTAGACTAATTGGATTGGATTGAGAAGTCTTCCTGGGAAAGGAGTAGTTGGGAAGGTCAAGTATCCCAATATCACTGAAGCAAGCAGAATTTGATTGGTCACAGCCTGTGTGCATGTTAGCACCACCTCAAAACCCATACCCTCCTTTAAAAAAAATCTTATTATTAATTATATAGAAACAAACTAAGAATGTCAGCAGCAGTGCTTGTTTTGTTATATTAGATGTGTGAATATAATATGCATTACTTTGGATCGCTGCATCATCAATACATTAAACTGTTTTTTATGTACAAAGATAAATAGTTATTGAGGATTCATCTTTCTTTCTTTCTTTCACATTATGGCAGATGGTAAATGATGGAAAGTCCACATTTGTTCCAAAACAGAGACAGCGTTGCAGATGGACAAGAGCGTGGAAGGCTTTATTAAACATCCAACCTCATGTTTCTGCATATTGTAGAGCACTGGGAGTCAGCTTAATCAATTTAGTCCACTTAATAAAAACCAAGGAGACCGCAAGAACAATAAAATTGTAAATTGCAAAGTGTTATATATCTTGAGAAGCCACTGTTTCATACTATAAACAAGTGGAATCGTTTATGCCATGAAACATCATGTTGCACACCCAAAAATATTCTCTCTTGGGGCATCAATGAGATTAAAGTAAAAGAATGAAGAGATCCTTCCATGAGCTTTATGATACACACATGAAGAAGCATGCAATACCTGGTATTTATCAGTATCTGTGTGAGAGAGTGCATGTGTGCGAAGGGGTAAGGTTATGTCTGCCATTGC